TCTCCGCCCCCTCCCCCGCCCCCTCCCCCCTCACGCAAATGAGACCACTCACCAGTGTAGACCTCTTGCATTTAAAGGAACCTTTTCTTTCTCTTCTTTCCCATTGTGATGTCTCTCTCATGCAGGTTAGACTTAGAATTCACCATTCAAATCCCTGAGCCCATTAAAAATGGCCCCCAGTCCACATTACTGACCCTGTCCTCTTTTTTTTTTTTCTTTTTGTTTTTTTTTTTGTTTTGTTTTTAAGAGAGATATATAGTTGATTTTAATTGGAAAATTTATTATTTTTTGTCTTGCATGTTGAGGAAATTGGAAATTTTATTTTCTCTAAAAGAAATGGGTATAAGGCAGATAGGTCCCAGTTCGATCGTCTTGGTGTCTAAGGTTTGTGTGAAAATTTGCTTTTGAGGGGAGGAAGTTTCTATTCTGTAACATGTTAACTTAATTTCAGGAAGTATCAAGAGAGGTGGGAAACTTTGGGGAGCCAAAAAGCACTTCATTTAAAATGATAAATGCAAGGGAGCAATGCTCACTAAATGGGTATAAGGCAGATAGGTCCCAGTTCGATCGTCTTGGTGTCTAAGGTTTGTGTGAAAATTTGCTTTTGAGGGGAGGAAGTTTCTATTCTGTAACATGTTAACTTAATTTCAGGAAGTATCAAGAGAGGTGGGAAACTTTGGGGAGCCAAAAAGCACTTCATTTAAAATGATAAATGCAAGGGAGCAATGCTCACTTCTACTAATCTTTTTTTTTTTTTTTTTTTTTTTTAATACCTCACTTTTTTTTTGTAATGTTTTTTTTTTTTTTTTTTTTTGTTTTAATAGCTCACTATTATTGCTTGTAATCTATCGTAGGTGACTTTTCTATAGGAAAACTCTGCTCATTTGTCTGAGCTGGGCGGCGTTCAGAGTAATGCCCCAGGTACATTGTTGGCGTTTTCTGCAGCTCTGGAAGCAGCAGCCCCATCTTCTGGTACCTGTAGCAGCCTGCAGTAGGGAAGTTGGGAATAAAACCCCGTTGTCAGAGACCAAACCTGTCTTGGATTCGATACCTGAAAACCAGATAGTCACTGTAGGTACCACTGCTGTAATGTTTAGCCAAGTAAGTTCTTTCCCTACAATTGTTAAATTGCAGCATCGCAAACGTGTGGAGCCTGGTTATCCTTAAATTTAGTTTCTGCTCTCAAATTCCCGTTGTCAGGTTTATTGAGAGAAGTCTTATTTGAGAGCCCAGAAACTAAGCAGAACTGAGATGATAAACAGCGTTATCTTGTTTGTCTGTCCTTCGCGAACAAACTACCTTTTGCCGTGGGGAATGTTCTGGATGCTGCTACGCTGAATAAAATGTGACAGAGTTTTCCACACTTAAATTTAAGAGGTTTGAATAGGGTGGGCTGGGGGGGAGGGCAGGGGGAGGAAGGGAGGAGGAGGAGATTGCCTGGAATCTCCTTTTCATGAGGTAAGCGGTGAGCTGGTTAGTGCATCTTGATTCTGAAGCTTTATTTCTTTTGTACTTCGCTCTGACTATTGCTTTTCCTGGCTTTTGAGTGCATTTCCCTGCTCCATTGGTCCCTTTGAGCTGAGCTCTCGCAGGTAGGTAGCATTTTAGAAAATGTTAGAGAAGAGTGAAATTTTAGTAAATACGTAAATAAAACTTGTTTATTTTACAGGCTAAGGTGGGTGTGAGGGGGTTTCCCCTTTAGTAAAGCATGTTGTTGACTTGTTATTTCTAATACCTGACGGTTCAGAGACAGTAGATGATAACAGGAGTTGGCTGCTCTTGATCTGAAAATATGACAAAAGAATGGATACATCTCCTGGTTTGTGAGGCATAATCTTTGCATTATGAGAGTGCAGGGTTTTGGGTTTTTTTTTCTGTTGGCGTTCTTGCATATGGATGAACAAGGCAGCCCACTCCTTCTGTAGCAGAGTGGAACTTCTTATAGCCCAGGAAAAGAGCTTGCTTATACAGAAATGATTTCTTTTTTAATTTAATTTCTTCCCAGAGTAAAATTTTGGGGGATGAATGCGCGTTTTGGGTTTTTTTTTTGTTTTTTGTTTTTTTTTGGTGCAGTACACAGGTAGGTTGCTGACACAGGGGGAAAAGGGAGAGATCTTCCAGAACCTTGGTTCCTTCGTCCCATCTTCTAATTCCAGTGCTTGGGCAGGAAGTTCCTTTGCTTGTGTTAAGTGAAAGCCAGAAACGTGTCGTTTATCCAGGCACTGGCTGATTGTCTTTGGCCTCCCTCGCAAGCAAATGTAGAGCTGCTTTTTTTTTTTTTTTTTTTTTTTTTTAGAGCTTCTTTTTTTTTTTTTTTTTTTTTTTTTTAAATTTGCGAGTTCAATGCAGAAATGTGTTTGAGGGGTGTAGGAGTAGGACATCTCACTGACTGGCTTTAAAAAGGGTCTCTGGACCGCCAAAGCTGCCTTATAGTCTGCTATAGCTTTCACTTCTTTTGGGGGGGACTTGTGCACACGTAAATGTCTATGCCAAGTCTTGCAGTGCTTTATTGCCATCGAGGTCAGCTGAAGTCCAGGGTCTCGGTTCAGTTCAGAGTGTTAACCAGACTGCTGAATGCATAAATGCACCGTGGCATGTGCTGCCCCTGTCCCACCTGGTGCTCACTGCTCTGTTCCATATACCAGCTGGAGGGCCCTTGTTGATAAAGCATTAGCGTCTAGTATTGTTTGCCTTGTTTTCAATCTGTAAAAGTTTGTGGGAGTGTCAAATGAGTTGGGTGTCTCCTCCCCTCCCACTTCCTGAAGCAATTTACTGTTTGGACTTCTCTGAACAATGGAAGGGTTAGTGGCTTTGTGTGGGATCAGCCTCTTGTTTCACACACCTGCTGGTCTCTGAACACATTCCTGTTGTATTAATGAAGACTTGAATTGAGAGATTCATAGATCTGTGGTGTTCAGACACAGGATACTAAGAGCTATGTTACTATTCTTAGTTTGTAAATTGTCCTTTTGATACCATCTTGTTTTCTTTTGTAGGTATAAATAAAAACACTGTTGTCAATAAGTTGTGAACTTTGTCTTTATTTTTGGAGTGTAAAACTGTCTTTGCCCCTGTTCTTCCCAGTTCTTAAAAAAAGTCAAATTCAAGGAGTTGGAAACACCTGTTGGCAACCTACTGAATTTTAATCAAAACAATCCCCGTTTGTAGAATACAAGGAACTGTCGCTGAAAGTGAGTGAGTGGGGAGGATGTTTGAATACCTGTGGAATTGGAAGATTCATTTCTTTCAAAGGGAATGTATTTTTCCTGAACGTTATGGGACTTGACTGGAATGGGTGTCGGGCAGAGTTAACGTTCAGGAGGATGTTAGTTCATACAGAGTTGAAGTAACAGTTTGTAGCATCTGCTGTGTCAGATGTGGTCACGTGTGAAACGGGTCAGTGGCGTTGTATATGTTATCAGACTTAATAGTACCACGTTCCCTTTACCATAGGCACTCGTTAAAGGGCTGAAGGACTAAAGGTAGTGACGATTCCCCTTACACTCCTTGTGCTGCCTCAGGGTCAAGGTAGAGGCGTGTTTTGGAGGTAGATGCTGGGAAGAGCCGGGAGAGAGTAATTTGCACTACTTCAGTATTGGCCAGCACTACTTACTAGCACCAAGTTCAAGTAAGAAGAAATTAAAAAAAAAAATAAATTTTGGGAAAGTCTCATGGATGAAAAGGGTATCAGCTTTCCAGGCCTCATTGTCTTGCTGGCACTGGAGTGAAACTCGGCTGAGCCATCGTTAGTCAAAAAGGACCAGGAAAGGAAAGCTGTGATCTTAAGAGCTTCGTCTTCGGAATTTCTTGCATTGTCTGTGGAAATGTCTTCAAACAGGCATGGGAAGACTCAGCTTCTTTCCTTTTAGGACTGTGCAAAGAGAAAGAGGAGGTAATGAAGGAACTTAGGAGAATTAAACTTTTCATTGTTTCAACAATTTTTTTTTTTTGAACTTGCTATTTAGAGCGCCAGATAGCGGGTTGCCAGGTTTGCAAATGGCAATGAAATTATGGCCATCGAATGGACCTTCTCGGGCATCCTCCCTGTGCTCCTGTAGGCAGGTAGGGATAGAGTCATGCTGTCTTCAGGTAACACGACTGCTTGTCCTCCGTTATGACTATGCTAACAGCTCTGAAGAATCCTGTTCGTTGTTGAATGAACATCTAGGAGAACTTGGCGAGAAGGGTAAAATTAAGGAATCCAGAGAAAAGGGAAGAATTTATGTGATCCTTTCTGGGAGACAACCACTACAAAATTGCTTCTAAGGGGGGAAAACCCCAAAACTTACTTACACTCCTTTTTGCTAAAGGAAAAGGTTTTTGTTTCCGCTTCCATAGTTACTCTTGTTCTTGCGTGGATCCTCTTAGAGACTTTTAATTTCCCCACTTTTTTTTGTCTTGATGATGTAGTATGGAGTCTGCTGTTCTTTCCCCAGTGCTTCCCCCGCCCCACCCTGCCCCCTTTAAATAGAGAACATGACCTGAATAAATGGTCTGTGGCCAGACCCCCCTGAGCCTGCCCCACCCCATCTGATCTGGAAGCTGGGATGGGAGGCCTCTGGGAAATACCAGGGGCCCATAGGCTTAGATGAGGTGGATGGAGAAGTGGCTGCTCTGGCCGCGTGATGGTCAGTGGCATGGAGTCCGGCTGGTGGCCTGGTACTGGTGGTGTACCCCAGGGACGGGTACTGGGGCCAGTACTGCTCAAGGTCTTTATTTGGTGCCAGAGGGAAGGGCAGAGTACGCCCTCAGTGATTTGCTGGTGATGTGCAACGGAGGAGAGTGGCTGATAGACCAGATGGGGTCAGGGGGACGGTGCCAGGCTGGAAAAATGGGCTGGCGGGGACCTCATGAAGGTCAGCAAAGTGAAATGCCACGTCCTGCCCCTGGGGTGGAACAACCCCATGCACCAGTATGGGCTGGGGGCTGCCCAGCTGGACAGTGGCTGGGCAGAAGAGGCCCTGGGTGTGCTGGTGGATACGAAGTTGGAACACGAGCCACCGCTGTGCCCTCATGGCAAAGAATGCAAACAGCCTCCTGAGCTGCATTGCCGGCAGGTCCAGGGAGGTGGTCCTTCCTCTCTGCTCAGCCCTGGTGAGGCCACAGCTGGAGCAATAGGTCCAGCTCTGGGCTCCCAGTACAAGAGGCAGGGACATACTGGAGCAAGTCCAGAAAGACCACGAGGATGGTTAAGGGACTAGAGCATCCGATGTCAGAGTGCAGGCTGAGAGCTGAGGCTGCTTAGCGTGGAGAAGGCTGAGGGGGATCTTACCCATGTGTATAAATGCCTGATGGGGGGAGTAAAGGAGACAGAGCCAGACTCTGCTCGGTGGTGCCCAGTGACAGGGCAAGGGGCAATGGGAAATTCCACTTAAACGTAAGAAAAAGGTTTTTTACTGTGAGGGTGGTCAGACACCGGCACAGGTTGCTCAGAGAGGCTGTGGTGCCTCTGTCCTGGAGGTACTCAAAACCTGACTGGACAAGACCTTGAACAACCTGCTCTAGGTGACCCTGCTGTGAGCAGGGGGGTGGATTAGATGATTCCCCCCCACGCCCCCCACTTGCCCCCAACCTCAGCCGTTCTGTGAAATACAAGCTTTTGGGAGCTGAAAGCTTCCTTGGAATATCTTTCAGGTCCTTGTGTTAAACAGAAAGGAGTGCATCTAGTTTTGAAAACAAGATAAAGAGAAGTCGCTTTCTATAAAAATCCCTTTACAATGCTTTGGTATGGGCTCTGAAGTCTTATTAAATACATTTCTTTATGTAACATCTTGGCTTTTTTTGCAGCATTGCTGCCCTTTTGTCTGAGTTCTTCTGTGTTAGAAATGTTTTGAAAAGTTTTTTTTTTTTTTGCAAGAGCGTAAGAGAGATGCAACTTTCTATAATATTGCTGGTTTTCATAAATGACTGCAAAGCATTTGCATATCTTCAGTAAAAAAAAAAAAAAAAAAAAAAGTAAAAAAAAAAAAAAAAAAAAAGGCAATTATCTTCCTGCTGTGATGTCCCAGGGACAAATGTTTTTAATTCTGCCTCCTGTATCATCTAAATTTTGCAGTTTTATCACTAGCGATGCGAGACTGAAAGCCAGCAGTTGTTTTTTCCCCCCTTTTGTTCCACCATCGCAACTACAAAGGGTATGGATTTCTCACAAAATACAGAAGGACATAGGACACATGAATTGAGTGAAGCTAAAATGGGAATTAGTTTTTTTAAAAAAAAAAAAAAAAAAGGGAATTGACGTGGAGCACCTTGATGGCAGTTTTACAAAGTACCTTTCTGGCTACAAAAATGTTTTAATGACAGAAGGAAGCCTTAATCCGCCAAGGCCAGCCACCTGCCCAGTGCTCCTGTCACCTCTCTATCAGCAGGTACGTTGCATGAAGCTACCAAAGATCCATCCCTCCTCGAAACATCAAATGCGGGCCGTCACTACTGCTTTTGGCAGACTAGTTCGGGAATGTGAAGAAGGAAGAAAATACTTGTTTGCTCAGCTAGATTTCATCAAATTCCATCCTCCTCAACAGAGGAGTGTTTTAGAGTGTACTTCAGCCTCAGCAAACCATAGCGTGTTCTACCAAATTTTATGCCCTTCATGCACTCGTTAGCTCTGGTACGTGGCCATTTACCAAAGCATGGCGCTGAAGTGGAAGGGGCATCTGATCTTGGGTGTCTTGTCTGTGCCGATGCCTGTCTTCGTACAGAATCAGTTCTTGGGAATGTTACATCTTTTCCATCAGAAGAAAAAGTAGGCTTAATAATATCTCCGTATGTCTGCAGTTGCTTTCTCAGGTACATTGTCTGCCTGCAGCTATTTTTTTTTTTCCCCCCTCAAAGTTTTTTTTGCAATTCATAATCATGTCTGCAGTTGCTTTCTCAGGTACATTGTCTGCCTGCAGCTATTTTTTTTTTTCCCCCCTCAAAGTTTTTTTTGCATGATTCATAATCTTTCAAAATGTACATAGAATTGAATATACCTCAATTGTTAACTTCCCAAGGTGGGGTTAAATGAGGCTTAGCTCTGGTTTAACTTCTGCTTTGTTTCACATGCACATCTAGAGCCTTCTGAGCAGAGATGCCCACTTGCGTTCAACAGATAAGTTTTTTAAACTGGATTTTAGGTGAACAATGTGCATCACAAATACAGCAAAGAATAAAGTCACATACGGATTAACACACAGCAAGCTGCAGCTCCACTGTATGTTGCAAGAGTGCCAAATGAATGTTTCAGATTTATACCAACCCCTTTACCTACCTTTGGTAATGTAGAGATAGAAGAAGTCACAGTAGAAGATGGTTTGTACGACCCCGGAAACTACAGCGATCTGGTCATAGAAATTCTCCGTGTAGTAGCGCCAGACCCAGTTGGCAATGTAGAGAGCGCGGTAGAGGCCCAGGAAGAAAAGGTAGTGTGTCGTGATGGTTTCTGCTTCCCCCGTCTTGCTGATCATGAAGAGCTGAGGAAGGATAGCCACGGACTCCAGGTAGATGGAGAAGGTCCAGAGTATCTGTGAGATGCAAAATGAAGGCAGTGGCGAGTCTTGGTGCTGGTTAATATGCGTTAAGAGCCAAAGCTTTCATTTGGCAGAGCACCGATGTGCGAGCGGGATGAGCAGTGCTGCTGGAGCTAGGGAAAATGAGCCTGCTGTGCTGGGACTGAGAGGAGGCAGCACTGAGCTGCTCTATAGATGGTATGGTCTTCAAGGCCTGCCAACTTTGCCTTTCCTGCCTGCTTTTGCTGTTAAAAATCTCAACTATTCAACATGCTGCTCACTCTGCTGTATGGTGTCAGGCTGCTGCTTCCCCTCCCCTTTCCTGCCTCAGGTTCTCCTTACCTCCAAGGGGGTGAAGCTGTGGTTCTCCAGAAATGATAGGCCTGTGACAGGGACCAGCAGGAACTCAAGGCGAAAGGAGTCATTCTCACTGTCGAATGTTTTCCGGAATTTCACGTAGATCATGTACACGGTGATGTAGGCACATATCAAAAAAATGACCTGGGGAAGGGAAGGGAGATGGCAAGATCTTACCTGCGATTACACCTTCTGTGCTTGAAGAGAGGACGGCTTTGCCAAAGTCAAGATCTTTTAACCTGGTTCTGGTGGGGCTGTGCCAGGGTGATATAGTGGTGAATGCTTTTTCTGCACTGGCTCGTGGATTGACTTCTGCTGGAGATACTCCAGCAGTCAACTAAAGATTGCCCTACCATGAGGATCACACTTGCTTGAGCCCTCTAGGGCTCTGTGTGAAGAGGTTGGCTTGGTTGCAGCCGTCTGTTAATGCTCCGGCTGTGCAAGGACACCCAGACTTGATTCATGGCGTTTGGTGGTACTAAATGTGGCGGGCTCAGGTCGCTCACTGACTGTGGTGAGGGGGTTTTTTGGTCAATGGAGGGCCAATGACACCAAAGGAAGCATCTTTATCCACCCTTCCTATGTATAACCCCCCGTAGCGTTGAAATGACACCAAAGGAAGCATCTTTATCCACAAAGTGACAAGTGAAGAAGACGGAATCGCTCCTTCTTCCCTCTGACTGAAAAACTTTGTGAATGCATACTCTCGCCTCCCTGAGAAACCACGGCGAGCTGAGGGGAACCTCTGCTTCCGTGCTGCCCTCTCCTTACCTTCATCACGGTGTTATAGACAGAGATGAAGGTGGTGAACAGGTCCAGATAGCGGGTTGTGAAGACGAGGGCAAAAAGAATCTGACTCTTCCCAGAGATACCTGCGTGGCAGGGAGAAGGAAGGAAGGTAAGGCAGATGAGAGGAAGGACCCTTAGGATGGTGGTTTCCCCTTATGCCTTCTTTGGAAGTGATTGTATGTATGCGTTTTGCTTTGTGAGCCTGGTCAGGCGTGTAGGTGCGGTGGTAGCTCTAGACCTACCCCAGGACTGGCCGGACTCTCCCAAGTAACAGGGCAGGCTCCTGCTGACGCCCCCTGAGCCCTGCCTCGGGTTGTAGGGACCAGCACCCGGTGGGCACGTTCACTGCTTTGGCCAATTCAGTCCTTACTGTCACCAAAATGCCTTTCTCTTCCCTCCCTCACCCCCTTCGCCGGCCCACCTCGCCGGGGCGTTGTGTGATGTGACGTCTGCTGCACCAGGGAAGAGCTGTGGGATCAGGGACCAGCCTAGGGATGCTGATGGAGCTTAGTCACCGCTGGTGGAGAGAGGCAGACCGACCCACCCGTTTCTCTACCTGTGATAATGGCCATGGTGCTGCAGCCAAGCCCCAAAATCTCTTGGGGAGGAAACCATGAACTCAGCAAAACCCTCCTGCAGGAAGCTGCTGCCCTGATTTCCCCGCCCAGCGACGGGGCAGCCTCTGGTACCCGCCCGCCTGCTGGCAGGACCTCTGACCTAAAGCAGCTTTCTCTCGAGGTCGTCGGTTTTGGTGCCACCACAACTTTTTGCACTCATTTTCCACCTCCCTCCAGCCTTGCTGCCCTCCCCTTCGCTTCACCACCCGACACCAACACCTGCCCGAGGCCGAGCGCCTTGCCACATCACATCCTTCCAATGCAGCCCTCTCCTCCTGGCCGGGAGACCTCCCAGAGGAGGATGACTTCCCTCAAAGAGCCCACTGGGGAGGGCTGCCAGCTTGCATGGGCTATTGCTAGCCTTTTTGGCACCCGTTTCGCTCGCACCCCTTGCTGAGCCGCCCTCCGAGAAGGGTCCCCCTCCTTCCCCAGGGTGTGGGAGCACTCACCGGCGCAGGACTTGGACTTCTGGATCTTCAGCAGGAGGATGATGATGGCCAGCAAGTGGGAGACATCCCCCAGGATGCGGAAGATGTTCATGGCGCCGGGGGGGCTCCTCTGGGGCAAAGGGAGCGGGACACTTTCTGCGGGTAGGGAGGGTGAGGGCAGGGAGTTTTTCCCCCCCTGAGCCTCGACTGAGCGAATGCTCTCCTCCGGCCCAACCTTCCTTTTTTCCCTGGTACGGAGCCCTCTCTTCTGGCAGAGGAAAGTTCAGGCTCCCCTCTCCCCTGGTCGCAAAGCGCCTTTCCTCTGCCAGGCACTCAAGCTGGACGTCTCCCTTGCTTACTTTTCCCTCAAGGTGGATTTTCTCTCCCCACCCCTCCAGGGCCTTCCTCTCCCTGCTCCAGGCCAAAAGTTGGGGTTTGTTCCCTGGAGAGCCCCAGGCTGAGCCTGCTGAGCAGCCCCGAAACCAGCGCTGGGTGACGGTGACGTGGCTCCTGGCTGGCCAGGGAGGAGAGGGAGGAGGAGGCGGAGGCGGGAATAACTGCGCTATTTTTCCCTTTTTCTTTTTTTTCCCTTCCCCTTTTTTCTTCCCCAACTTGTCTCAAGTTACACGCGGAAGTGTCGTTAAAGGGGAAAAGGCAGAGGGAAAGGGATCCCCATCCTCTGGCCTTGGGGACGCACCCTCCGGCGAGGGACGGGCTTTCCAGGGACGTTCCCCATGGGCGCGTTAACCTCTGTCCTGCTCCCAGCTGGCAGCCTCCTGCCCTCTGCCCTTCCCGGCCCTGTCCCACCTCCAGCACCTTCTCCCTGGAGTAAACGAAGAAGCAGGGAGAGATCTGAATTATCGGGCCGCTGCGACTGTATGTCACATTCCACCCGGACCCCCTCCCTCCCGTGGCAGATCAGGCACAGCTGTTCCCCTGTGGCCCCCCGCCAGCCACCCCCACTTTCGGGCGTCCTGTCTGGAGTGATGCAGATCCCAGAGCCCAGCCCTGGAGGAAAAAAAAAAGATACTTCCAAGGGGTGGTTTGAAAGAAACTTGGCTGAAAATATTAATTCTGGATTCCTGCAAGTGGATTACAAACAACGTAATATATGTGTTGCGTGAAAGAAGCACATAGGTACTGCCATTTTTATAGATTTAAGAGAAATGAGCTTAGTAGTGATAGTTACAAAGTTTTAATATATTCAGAAACAGCCCTGGGTGACCAGCCTGTTTGGGATAAATCTTGTCCTTGCAGCTGCGGTTATGCAGGGAGGTCTCATGGCAGTGGGAGGGGACCTCCGCATCGAGACGGGGCCATTAGATATTCATTATCTAATCACTAGTATAAAGCTGCTTTAATACAACCAAATGGATGTTTTAATTTGTCACCTCGTCCCCAAGCAGATTGCATCCGGCTGTGGGTCTAATTTGGTTACTCAAGGGTTGCGTGACCCTGCCTGCTCTTGCCCCAGGACCAGCTCTGGCTGCCGCCCTCCCTGTCCCCAGCCGTCACCTGCGGCCATCTCCTCCATGTCTCCCTCCATCGGCACATCCTTATGGGCTCGCTTGGAGTAAAATCCTTAATGATTAAAGTGTAAAAATATTATTCCCGGTGCTTACGGAGAGGACTAACAAGTCTATTAGCATCACCAGATTCCTTTCTGAATACATTTGCATACATTTCCTCTCTGCCCATTAGGCTGGCTGCCGTGTTTTCCCTCTCTGCCGCTCCAGCACCTGCCGCACCGGGCTTTTCCAGCCGCGTTCCCAGGCCGGGCTGGAAAACACCCGCTTGGCCCATACATTTCCTCTCTGCCCATTAGGCTGGCTGCCGTGTTTTCCCTCTCTGCCGCTCCAGCACCTGCCGCCCCGGGCTTTTCCAGCCGCGTTCGTGAAACCGGGGAGGGCCCTGCCTGCCCCTGCCAGGGCATCGAGGCAGAGGTTGGGGCAGTGGGAGAAGAGCAGGTTAGGCCAAAGGAGAGCGTCAGCAAAGGAGCAACGGGGTAGGGACTGGCTGAAATTGGGTTTCCAGCCATCAGAGCGGAGCTGCCTGGGGTTTCAGCAGGGCTCTGCAAGGCCATGCAGGTGCTGGCGAAAGCCAAGCCCCAGCCCCGGTGGCCCAGCAGGTCCCTGGTGTCCCAGGTCCTTTCGCAGGCAGGCAGAGAGGGGTTTGAGCTGTGGAGCGGGGATGGGAGGTTTTGGGGGAACAGATTTAGGGTCCTCTATGCTGACAGATCCCCTTCCAAGCCCCTGCGGCTCAATGTCTGAGAGCCCTCGTCATCTTCTGGTCCCTCCGCTCCTCTTCACAGCTTCTTGTCCCACCCAGGGGATGAAACCTCCTGCGGAGGGGTAAGACTGTTGTGGCTGGCAAAGGTTTATTCTCTTCATCTTGCGCCTTCCCAAGAAGAGCTGATCGGCCCCAAGCCACAGCGTTATCTCCTGCTGTAGCACCAGGAACCACCACGTGAGGTGACCGTCAGAGGGACTTCACGGGAGCAGCCCAGCCGAGCACACCCAGCTGGGACACAGTGGTGGGGCTGGGGTCTCCCCGTGGGACATCCCCATGCGGCATGAGGGAGGGCCGTGGAAAGGCTGCCAGGAGGGCGAGGGGCACATGGACGCTTAGAGAAGGAAAAACTGGCACATGAAGTGGGAGCAGGTAAAAATAAACCTTCCCTCCTTGCCACAACACGAAGCGCCTTGCACTGGGTGTCTCCCTGCCTCCCGAAATAATGCCGGGCGCTGCCACCGCCCTGCACGGTGATGCTCTCTCCATGCCTCCCGTTTCCATGGTGACCGCAAGGAATGTCGCCAGGGTGACAGGGAGGCGAGCGAGCTGGGATTTGGCATTAAAAACGGGAATTTGGGGTTGTTGGGTTTCTTTTTCTTTTTTTTTTCCCCTTTAGTTCTATTTTTGGGTTTCCCTCTCTGCCTTTGCTGATCTGGGAGGCTCCTTCTCCTGCAGAGCCCCTGGGCCAGGCGGCAGCAGCTCCGTCAAGGGCCCTTCCCCACCTCTGCCTGTTCTGCGAGGCGATGGCAATCGCACAAGAAGATGGGAGAAGGGTGTTTCCTTCTCACTAAAGCATTAGTTTCCTGCCACCAGGAAGGCTTCTGTGCTTTTGCCCCCAGAGGTGCTTGGCCAGGAGTCGCCCTCCATTTCTGCTGCAGGCTGTGGCTCAGGCCGCATCCAGACCCCCTGGGAGGGCAGGCAGCCCCCAGGGTTCATCCCAGAGTGGGCCCAGAGAGGGAAGTGATTCGGCATTCCCAGAGGGGCTGGGGAACATGGTGGGGTTGAGCACCATGGGCCACCTCCATCTCTCACCACCTCTGCCTCTGTGAGCAGGACAGCTCGGCTGGGGCAGTCCTGGAGCACTGCGGACAGAGATGGGACAGTTGGAGGAGGATGGCAGAGGGAGCCTGGCAGGTGCTAAGGAGTCCAAAGCTGTGTTGTCTGGTTTCAACACTCAAAGTCAGACCTGCCCAGGGCAGAGAGGGCTCGAGGGCTCATGCTGGCTTAGCTGGTGTTGCAGGAAAGTGGGACCATATGTGCCCAAGCAGGGGCTGCTGGCATGGGGGTTGCGCTTGTCTTCATCCCCAGGCAGGAGAGGGGTCAGGCAGCGCTTGCTCACCTTCCCAGGAGCTCTTGCTTCCCCCTCCATCCATCCCTCCATCCCTCTCCATCCATCCCTCCATCCACCCCTCTACCCTTCCATCCATCCCTCCAAACATTCCTCCATCCATCCCTCCATTCCTCCATCCCTCTTTCCCTCCTTTCCTCCATCCCTCCATCCATACCCCCAGCCCTCCATCCCTCCATCCCTCCGTCCCTCTGCCTCCCCCATCCCCACAGCAGCATCGGGAAAGGTTGGCGGAGTGGGGCTATTTTTGGGAGCGTCTCCCTGGCAACGGCTGCCAACACCGTCTGTGGTGGCTTTTCCATAGGTGCTAAAATATTCCACGCTTCTTATTAAAGACGGTGCCGGTGGAGACGGGCGGGGGTGGCGAGTGTGAGCCACCCCGCTGCCGGGGCCGGCGGGCCTGGGGTGGCCGGGGCATGGCACCCTGGGGGCACAAGGACAGTGAGGGGCTGGTGGCATCCTGGATGCAACGTCCCCATGTCCCTCCCAATGGCCCCGGCCATGCCGGCTGCCTCTTGGCTGTGCCAGGGTGCCGTGCCGTGCACAAGGTGCAGCTATTCATCCTCTCGCTGCCCAGGCGGAGGGAAACGCAGCAAGGTCTCAGGGGGAGCCAGCAATGAGGAGTGAAAGGCAGAGAGGGTGAAACCCAACCTGAAGCCGAGGGGGCTGCAGGGGTGCACGGGTGCCTGGCGGCTTCGCCCGCCCGGGGAAGGAGCAAGATGTCTCAGCAGCATCTTCATCCCTTGTACAGAGGGGAAAGGCCTGTTGTGCCTGTTGTGGTGCCAGAGGGCCGGTACACTTTCCGGCGGGGCACCCATGCAGCTCCCAGACAGTAGCTCTTGGGATGCAGCCCCACAGGCCCTGGGGATGGGTGTTTTGGGAAAGCAAGTGCCCCCCTGAACCTGAACAGGTCCCCGTAGCGATGGCTGCAGAGGGGATGGAGGGAGCAGGCTGGCCCTGCTCCATCCGGGCGCCGCAGCTCCCCGGAACCCCTGGTTCAAGCCGCGGGGAGCAGCTGCAGTTGGGCCAGGGTGAGCTGGCCAGTGCAGGAGGCTGCCATGCTCCCTGTTTGCAGCTGCTCATCTGTGCGGATAGCTGCTAAAAATACCCTCTGCTTCCCCTGGGGTGGCTTTGCCGGGTGAGAGTGTCGGTGCTCACTGATGCTGGCGTGGGACGGCAGTCCCTGCAGCATGTTGTGCAAGAGGGCATCCCTGTGCCAGGGGATCTTGGGATGATTTTGGGAGGGAGGGTCACGGTTGCTGCAGGATTGGGACCCAGAGGGCACTCAAAAAGTGTTTTCTTGATCTTTTTTTACTTTCTGTCAGAGGCCTTAATGTTGGAGATGGCAAATAAGACACTGAGATGGAAACCATGCCCATGGACCCCTCTGGCCCAGTGCAGGGCTGTCCCTGGGAGCCTGTGCCTACAGCTGCTGCCTGTGGGTTCAGGGCTCTCTTCAGCCTCCAGCTTCCCTCCTG